CCCCGGGCGCGGTGCGGCGGGGCCGCCTCCTGCCGCGGGGCCAGCTGCTGCCGCGGGCGGGGGTCCTCGTCCCTCGGGCTGCAGGCGAGCAAAATCAAATGCATGTTAGTGGAAAAAGGAGGTTTTTAGCCTCCTAGAGTTTGCAAAATGAAGTTACACGCAGTAAACGGAAAGGAAAAAAAATAGGAAACAGATGTGATCAGATTTTGTTCCAGCACAAATGGACAGGAAGCAAATGCATCTGTAATGAGAACATTGTTCTTTTCTAATAGTGAAAGGAGATCGGTCTGTAAGCAAACACATGAAAAACAGGCAAGGAGAAAGAGCGGACAAATGCTGGACTAGGCAGCAGAACTGGGAGCTGGTCATGGACCAGCAGCAGAGAGCTGGCACCAGTCTCACCCTCTACCTGTACTTGCCCCACACCAGTGACATGTTGGGATGCTGGTCTCTCCAGTATTTTACCTCTGAACAAGGAGTACTAGGCCTGACACTAGAAGGTATGGTGGTAGCTGCAATATTTGGCTTTGAATAATCTCTTTCTAGACTCTTTAAATTGCTCCTGTTGATTTTCCTTCAAGGTGAGGTAGGCCAACAGAATAATCATCTGTGTTCCTCAGGGGACAAGACAGCTGCAACATGAGGTGAAGAGGGTGAGGAATTTGTTTGCCACAAGCACTGCACCGTTTGATGAGAAGAGCCAGCTCCTGTACAGCAAGCCAATAGGAAATGGGGCTTCTGACAATTTCCTTCTTTGGTAAGTCCACATTCTATGAGCTTTTACTCACTTGAGTTGATGGAACAAAAGAAAATACATGCTACATGTATTGTGAAGGTGAGTGTAGGTTCTAGAGTAATTTTTATTGTGACACCACCACTCTGCTCCTGTCTTAAAAGGTAAAAAGGATAAGCAGCAAAGCAATACCTTCATAAATAACACTCTTTGCTCAAAGACAGCATGCTAAAAGAGCATACTCTAGACTGAGTATTGACTGAGTATCATTTATCAGTAAGGCTTTCAGAATGTACAGGTATCACAGTACCAGAATGACCATAATAGAAAGGAAAGGACTTTTCCATAGCTGTGTACGAGTAAATTATGCACATACATGCAACAAAATAGATTTTTCTTTATTCTTGTAATTGAGCGCTCACAATATTTCCTTTTTTGTACAAAAGTGGATGCAACTGTAACATAAAAAGCTGAAGAGCTACACAGAACGTAGTATGATTATATCTCCTGTAACAGCTTCTTTGCTAATCCTCTTTCAAATCCCTCACATACAAAGATAAATTCTTGCAATCCTGACATTAGGATTATTCAAGTAAAACATAAGCTGTAATCTTTCTGAAGCTGCCTGCTGCTCAGAATTAGGGCTGAGTGTCTGAGCATATCCATATTGCAGGGACCCACTGGGGCTCATCCTGTGCACGATGGACTGCAGACAGCAGCTGCGCAGATGCTTCTTGTAAATTGTCATTCACAATCACTTGATCAAAGAACTGACCAAACTGGGCTTCCATTTTCTTAGCCGAATCTTCCATCTCCTGTAAATCTTCTTCCTGCGAGACACAGAGTAAGTCTATAAAAGCTTTTGTGTTGTGTAGAGAAACATACCTGCATGGCATCTGCAGAACACCTTGGGCCGTGTAAACAAGAGGTGAATAGATAGTGCCTGTGTACTTTATTTCATTTACGCCTGCTGCAGTCAGTTCCAAGTCTCTCAAACAGAGCTGACTGCCATATCCTTCTCAAGGAAATACCTTCTGTCTCAGTATGCTCCATTTGCCCCAAAAAGGTTATCCTGCTGACAGAGGATGTTAGGGACTGAAAGGCAAATCCACTAATACTTGTGTTCTCGTTCCACATTTTAGTTTATTTCCCCAGTGTTCATGTTTGTTTCTGCCATAGCAATCATGATTCATTTCCATGTTTTCCATGGTTATGGACTGAGGTCTCCAAAATTTTAAGATGCTAGACTTGATTATAATTTGCATGGAAACAATTGTGACAATGTACCAGACACATTGTAAATACAAGATACGCGTTTCCTACAAGCAGGATTTTTTTTAACCTATAGAACTTAGTATAGAATTCATATTGATACTGTCATTTAGCATACATAAAATAACAATACATTCTTATAACTACATGAAAAAATAATTTAATTACTGAATGAAGCGCATTGCAGGTATTCCAGTGCAAACAGTAAATGTATGTGTTGACTCAAATCTTGTCACAAGGAAGTTAATTAAAACAAGAATATTAAAAAATAGCCTCTCCTTTAAAGACATTTTGAAGCAAAATGCCTCAATCCCCCAGGTACAAATTACAACCCTTCCGCTTCATAGCAAATCTGGACAGGGAAAAAAATCCCAACAAACCAAACAGAAAAAGACAAGAATAACTTAGATTTGATCCTAAAGACACAATAATCTTTTTTTAAGAGAGTTAACATAGTAACACAGTAGAATGCATTATGTTCTAAACACAGAATCCCAGAATAATAAACTGAGTCTCTTCTATTCCCAAATCTCACCTTGAATTTCATGTTCACATAATAATCTGTAATGATCCTGGCATTTTTACGAGTCTGCCTCATGCAGTTTATGCTGGATGGCTTGATGAATATAATGTAGGGCTTTAATTCATGAGTCCGGGCTACTTGTATGCCCTGCAAATTAAGGGTAAAAAAAGTTAAAGTATTTCAAGTGTATTCATCCCAGTTTTACTCCCATAAAAAGCCAATTGTTTACAACATGCTGTTATCTCCAGACCTATCAGTAATCTTTTTCAGGAACACCTACTTTAAAATGACCTCACTAATAATCCCTGGACCAGACATTGTTAACAACTGCAGTATACCAATCACTTAATTCTGCTTGGTAACCTTATTAGGAGTTGCTTTCAACTCCAGTGAATGACTGGACATTGTCATTAACAGATCTCTACAATCAACGACATAGAAAAACAGATTTCAGATTCATTTTTAAAGTGCTGGGGAGCTACCTTTGGAACAAGTACACCTTTATTGCTCCATACGGGAAGAAAGTATCCTGCTTTTGGAAATCTTTGTGTGTGTAACATTCCCTGATGCTAATAAGCTACTGCAGAGCTGTGGAGGGAACTA